CTTTCTGAGTATCCAGAGCGTTAAAGATTGACCCACGCTTAGCTTAATGTTTGTTTCAGACATTACCTGTGTGATATGAGACTGCTTGTGTTCATTTCAGCCAACCAACGAAATATATATATATTTTACTTTAACCTGCCTTTTTCGGAAAGGTACAAAGCTTTTCATGTTACTTTTCCCAGGAAACCACCTACTTTTTTAAATCTAATTCTGAGGTCCAGCAGAAACTGTGAATACAACACGCTCGCTACAGGATAATGATTGCACATTTGTGTCCCTGGCTACTGTGCAAAGCCAAAGTGTTTGAAAGGCGCTCTGGGGCAGCCTGTGGCTGGAAATGAAAATTGCTTTTGGGAATCCCACAAAAAGGATTAACTTTGACTTCATCTCTGGTTCTCCAAATTAATAATCAATCTGCTAGCTGGACCCAAGCCAAGCACTTGCATGACCTGCCTGGCTAGCAAGGGGGAAACGGCGCATGTGAGCTTGGAAGTATTAGAGAATCACAAACTTGTGTTTGGAAGAAACTTCTGGAGATTGGCTGCATTATTTAAGTCTTATAGATATATTTCAGTTTTAAAACCTCTTTCTAATCTATGCCTGTTGCCACAACAAAGGTTCTTCGTTTGTGAAAATTCCTATTGAGAAAAGCATTCTTATTTAGGATGGTCCTTAAGCATGGGCTTACCTCTTCTTTAAATCTACAATATAGTGCTTTTTTTTTTTTTTTTTTTTTTTATTCCCATCAAGTGCTCAAATAATATTCCCAGCGATTTTGCAAACATATGGGGAAACATTTTCTTGTGCAACATCATTGGGATTACACTGGAGATAAATTTGACCATAGACCTTAAGAGAGAGAAAAACCATCCAGGTTTCCTGCTAATTCTACCAGTACAATATTTTCAGCACCAGTCTGGCTTGGGGAATTCTACAATTCCTCGACTGGCACGTAATCAATCCGACTACGTTGTTCTCTAATATTCTGCCCACGTTCTCCCTTTAGTACAGTTCTTCTTTCTTCTCTCCTCTCTTGAGAATGCCTGAAAATAATTCCTCTTCCTTATTAGTGTACCTGGATTCAATATTTGCAAATAACTCAAACCCATCTCTCTTCGATGCTGGGCTGCAATCAGGGGTGTGCTGTTACAAACCAGGTGCACTTTCCTGCAGAATCAAAGGTTTTGCTGCAAAGATAAGGGGTCAGTGCTGATCTGCAGATGAAATCTGTATACACAGGTGCACCTTTGCCACTCTTAAAGGACCTGCTTATTAAAATGCCTTTTTCTTCTGCAGGCTTTAGGTCCACAATTAAGGCATTTTACATAGCATTGTAATTATCTTCTTGAATAGATCCCAGTGGAACCATCTTTATATGACAAGACCCAGTGATGAAATGATCTGGGGTTTTAAGTCTGCTTCTGAACCATGGGCCACTTGCTGATAATTCTTGACCCGTCTGACAGACCCTTTTGGGGCTGTATCTTGCATCTCTAAGATGAGGGGTAGATACCAGGATTGCAGAGCAGTGAGAATAGGCAATTAAGGAGATTCGCTAAGGAGATTCACCCCTTCCTTGGAGCACCCAGCACTTGAATATTCTGAGCAGCTTGTTAATCAATTAATCACCTTTAGCAATAACGAGGGCTGCATTCTCTTTTTCTATTAAATGGCATGGATGGACTTATTCCGAGGTGATTTACGCCAGGCAAATTTCTGATTCAGCATGTCCCACAGCATCTGACCTTTCTGTGATTTATAGCCGTTTCTAATGTAAAAACCGTATGGCTTCGATCCAATTGATTTCTTTGAATCCAAAAGAATAAATAAGCAGGCATCAGACCAAGTCTTACAAGAGCAAAGGGTGGTTGTTATAAAATGGATTTCTTACCTAGATATCACTCTGCGCTCTCTCTGTATGCACGTCTTAGGAATGGGGATCAGACTGCGCCAAGTGCAATTTTGGCCCTGGACAGACTTTAATCTTCCCTAATTCTGCATTCACCACTGCACTGTCAGTTTATCTTCCATGAGGGCTTGAGACCAAAAGTAGAGTCTAGGGAGTGTTTCTTGTTTTCTGATACATCCCTGGGGTTTCCTGTTTTCATAGGCCTTCTGGGGATTTTTTTTCTGTTGCTGGTTTTGCTTTTTTGTTGTTGTTGTTTCTGGATAAAGTTACTTTCGCAGATGCATGGCCCAGATCTGTCCTAGGCTACTCTGAGGCTGGCAAAGGAGTAAAACTGGGCTTCAGGATTGAAAGGGGATGTTAAGGCAATTGCACCCATACATTTGAAGGGAGTCCAAACTGTTTGTAGGTAGGGATGTGGATCGATATACCCCTATGTGATGCTTAAGGATGATGGCTTTAAGCTTAACCATTGGAAAAGCCTGTCCAAATAGGGAAAAAAAAAAGTGAATGATAATTAGGAGTGTTTTAAAGAGCATTTTTCCAGATAGCTGCAAAACCATAAATGAAAAAGATGACCACAGCACTAAAACAAAACAAAGAGACAAATATGCCAATAAGTACCAAAAACAACAGTCTCCTTTAGAGAGAAAGTAAAAGCTGTAAAAACTGTTATAGAGATATGGACGAAGGGTAAGTTGATAGCAAGCAATATAAATTAAGAGCTTGAAAAAGATAAGGAAAAATAAAAGATATACAAAGAAGTTTATTGTCTAAGACTGTTAAAGTGAGTAAAAAGGAAAATTTAGAGTACACTAAAACCAAAATGTATCCTAATGCTATTGGTTTGTTACTAGATCGAAATGACAGATTTATTTATAATAATACAGAAATTTCAATAAATGACTGTATTCTCTAACTGGAAGAGAGCCCGGGTACTTAATCCACATTCCATGATAATGAAATACTTTTAATTACACAAGCAGCTAGAAAACATGCTATACATCATCTAGGAAAAAGAGGCATTTTTAAGATAAACAAGTCAGGGCAATCCTGCAAACAGGAGCTCTAAAGAGAGGGCTGAGGCTAATTGTGGATCATTGCTCTTTAGTAAGGAAAGAGTGGAAACGTTCCCAAAGTCTGGAAAGACGCTAGTGCGTCTGCAAGCGGAGCAGCATGGCTCTAGATCTGTCAGCTTCACATCTTAGGCACAACAACAGACCATCTGATACGGGATCCAGAAATTAAAGGATTGTGGGTAACATCATGGTTATAATTGAATAATAGCATACTAATTAAAATAGAGGAATTAATAGCAATCAGCTTATGGAAAACAGATCTTGTCAAGCTAAATTAATACTTTTTATGAGAATATATAACTGGTTGACGGAGCCTAAGCGTTTGTTAATATTTATAGACATCATAAATAAGGCATCTGTCTTGGTCATAGGGATTAAACAAAACTGGCTAACGCAGTTCTTGGGGAAAGAAATGGCACAAGTAGGGGAGGGGATATGGACAAGTAGGGGATGGGATATGTAGGATGGGACAAGTAGGAGAAGGGTAGGGTCTCTGTCGTGATGCATTGGCCCGGCATCACAACGTCCTTTCCAAGAGGGACATGTGTGTGTAGGAGAAGGTTCAAAAAAGACATTGGAAAATGATGCCCGACCCCGGGAGGCTCAAAGGGATGTTTGGTTTAGCTCAAAGGGAGCCATACAAAGTTCTAACACCCAGGGAACATGTAGGGGCGTCCTGTCCACAGCACAGGCATGCAGGAGGGTCCAGGCTTGGTCCCCTGGTGCCAGGAACAGGTTGGGACCCGTGTCCTGCCCATGGGAACAGAGCAGGAGCCCCTGGGACCTTGAGGCTGTCCAACTCCATCCTGGAGCTTCCCTCAGCCCTCTGCCAGCAGCGCTGTCCACGCCCCTCGTGGCTCAGGGAACATCTTGGGTGTCCACATAGGGTGCGTGGCCCTTCCATCCTTCTCCACCTTCCATAAGAATAAGGCTTCTCTTCAGGTTTTTACATTTTAACACTTATTTACCCCTCCCAACACAGCCTGCGTGCTCTTGACTGGGGGCCGAACGGCTGGGGAGGCTCTGGGGATGTGGAGGGAGATGGGGACCGTGTCGGGGCAGCTCCTTCCCCTTCCTCTTCCTCCCCTTCTTCCCCTTTCCCTTCCCTTTCCCTTTCCCTTCTCCCCCTCTCTCCCCT